TTTTTTGAAATAGAGTACTTTAAAAACTAAATGTCTCATTGTACTATAATAAACCAAAAATAAAATAGAAAGAAAAGAAGAAAAACATAAAAGGTATCTTGAGAAAGCATAGTTTAAATAGGACTTAATAATAATAATAAGAAGAAGAAATAATAAGATAATATGATAAGAAGATATGTTTAGATTTTGGCTTGATGATGGAATATTGGGAAGTTAAATGTGTTTTGATATTTATAATTTTTTATTAATTTTATATAATTTCTTTAATTTATCCCATTTAATTTTTATTAATTCATTTTGTCATTAATTAATTGTTTCCTTTATTAATTATTAATGGTTTATTACGCAATAGATTGTAGGAAGTTCGAAAGCATAGGTTAAATTGTACTTACCTTACGTCCTATGTAATGCAATAATATTTCAAGTAATCCAATGTTGATTCTTATATTAAATGCATGCACTAAGTATACAATTTACACTATACGGCATATAGTCAATATAGTTACTTACAAAAACGATTCAAAATTTTAAATAATATGACAGTAATTACACAAAGTCTATGACTGATCTTACTTGTAAAAGATTCTAATCACTCTATATTTTATTAGAAATATAATTTATAATCTGTCCTTATTGATTTTTTTACGTGTGTTGAATAAGTATTTTTTTTTAAGAGTGTATATTTATTGAGAGATCCACACCAACATTTCTTAAATTTTTCTCTGGCCTGGCCAAAACAAGATTCAGAAATATTTATATCTATGTAAAAAATTTATTAAGTAGGAATTATGGTGGCCCGATGTGTCCCGGCGCTAACGCCTTGAAAGGATGCGAGACAATAATCACCAAAACAAAAATTAAACACTAAAAATATATTCGTAAGTTTCTTTGCGCTGTCCGCCGGCGCGATGCTCGTTAAAGCAAATATATTAAGTTCAATGACTAACTACCAAGTAAGTATAGAGTTGCAATACACTTAGTCCAATATATTTATTAATAAATTAATTTTATACACAGTATTATCTGAGAAAATTGTGACCTTCAGCTCTGTCCGCCGCACAGTGGTACCAAACGCCAAAAGTTCCATTTTTAAATCAACTAATAAAAAAATTTTTTTTCGCAATTTTTTTTTATTAAACCTTATAAGGTCATGTACAGAAATTCAAGGCCAAAAGTTGATACGGTAATGGTTNAGTGTCTTATGCGGGAATGAAAAAAAAATTTATGTGATTGAAATATCTAGTTTATTTTTTTATTATTAAACATAATTTAATAGGAAATACAGTGTTTATTAAAAAAATTTATCTTTTTTTTGATTGTTTTAAGTTCTGACAATGCGTTTCAGAAAGAAAGTGTTCAATTTTATTAAGACAACCTAACATTTCTTCAGAATTTTCAACAGAGGATAATACTTTCCGAATTTCCGATAGGTGTTGCAAACTAGCAGTAATTGTAGGAGTAGATACTGGAAAGTCTTGATCTTCTTCTTCTTGATCGTCGTCTTCTTTCTCATTCTCCACTAAGTTCTTATCAGCGATTATTTCATCCAAAGTCCGAGTGCTACTGGTTACGAGTTCATCATCTATTGTTGCATAATCAGCAAAATTTTGCAGAAGTTGAAAGTCCTCTTCTTTTAAAGGTGAGCTATCTGCCTGTTCAGAGTTGTTCAACACACCAAATGCAGCTTTCCGAATACAGTTTATTATTACATCTGGTTTAATTTCATCCCAAGCGGCACTAATGTAATGTATGGAGTCCAAAACATTAACTGTAGTTGAAATTTGGTTGGTACTCTCCATGTCTCTCAAGTACCGCTGAACTAATTTTTTTCGGTACTTTTGTTTTATCACTTTAATGATACCCTGATCTAGGGGTTGTAACTTAGATGTAGTATTTGGTGGAAAGAAAAGAAGTTTTATATTGGTAGTGGAGATATCTTTAGGGTAAGCCGGACAATTGTCGACGAATAGAATAATTTTTCTCTTTTGTTTACCGAAAAGTGCATCTATCTGTTGAATCCAGTTCATGAATAGTGTTCCTGTCATCCAAGCATCGATTTTGAACGTACGAACATTTTTGAAATAGCGAGGAGACCTATTTTTTTCAATGACGACCAACTTCAATTTATGGGTGCCGGTAGAATTTGTACATACTAAAACCGTGAGACGTTCCTTGCTCAACTTTCCACCATGGCATGTCTCATTTTTAAAAACAAAAGACTTATCTGGCATAAGCTTAAAAAATAATCCGAATTCATCAGCGTTGTATACATCGTCAGGAGCATAATCACGCAGTAATGAAGGCAACACGTTATTTTTCCATGAAGCTGTATCATTATTATTAACAGATTCAGCCTTACCTGAAATTTGCCGGTACACAATGCCATGCCTACTCCGAAATCTATCCAGCCAACCAGTCGATCCACTAAATTCGGTTAAGTTAAGACGTGCGGCAATCTCCATNTGGTTAAGTTAAGCCGAGCAGCTATCTCCATTGCCTTTTCCGTGATTACATCTCCATTTATTGAATAATTTAAACTGCGAGCTTGTTGAAACCACTCCAATAAAACATTTTCCAACTTTTCATACTTCCCGTGTTTTAATTTTTGTCGTTTGCTGCCACCTAACATGCTGCTTTGTTCTATTTCATGTCTATTTTTCAATAAAGTTCTTAAAGTAGAAGGAGGTATCCCCATTTCATTAGCAATATCCTTTTGTTTTTTTTTCTCAACCAATCCTTCATCGTACTTCTTCAAAATGTTAAGTTTGTCCGAAATTGATAGCGCTTTACGTTTTATACCAGCGAACGAACAGCACTTACTAAATCTCATAATACGGTGAAATACAGTAAAACTGTTATAATAAGTAATGATAAAATAGGTATAGCGATAAAATAAAACGATAAGATCACGTATAATACTAAAAATTCTATTTTTATTTCACAAAACTTCTAAAATTTATCGTAATATGCTGAACAAAAGAGCGTTTTACCCGATTAGACAGAGAAAAACTGAGCGTCTTAACAGGTGGTTTTTACATTGACTAGTATAGGAAATGTCTAGGGACCGACGAAAAACAGCGTCTTAAGCGAGAGCGTCTTAAACGAGTTTTACTGTAGTATAATGATTTTCNTGTCTTATGCGGGAAAGCGTCTTAAGCGAGTTTTACTGTATTACTATTATTACCAAAACATTTTTCTGTTTAATCATATTGTGTTACAAACGGCGCGTCGCGTCATAATAATTTGACATATTTTTTATAAGTTTCACAGTGAATTAATTGCAGTTTTGTTTTAATTTAAAAGTTGTAAAAATTATTCTATTATTTTTAAATAATGGATAATCAAGTATGTGGTAAGTGTTAACAATAATAAACTATATTAACAATAATATAATAGTATGTCTAAAATAAAACAAAATTTAGTGGCACGGTACAATTGTATAACTTATTTAATTTAATTTTATGTATATTATTAAAAACTTTATTTTAACTTAATTTTAACGAATCATTAGTTTTAATTACATTTAATATTTAATATCGTGTCTTTTAGCTTCTGCTCATATGTCAAAATGTTTGTTATTAAACCAAGATTTGGTTGATGTTATTAAATGTAACGGTATAAACTTACAGAATATCAGTAATATTACTTCAAGAGTAATTATTTTTGATTTTTTAAAATTAAAATATAATGGAATTAACTGCAGCACTACCTTTACAAAACTAGTTGAAAATAAAGTTTTAACATTTTATATGGCGGTTTCTAGGAAATGGTCTAAAATACAGCGTCACAATGCAATTTTTTTAAGAGCGACCGCCGAATGGCTTAAAACGCCATTTGAAATGCCATCAAATAGGAAAATTTGTTCCAAACCTATCGATGGCCAACCTAAAGTCAATTTTACTGAATCCTCGGAACGTTCAAAGAGACGTAAAATAAACTCTGATCTTACTTTAACTACAATGACATCACCTGAAATTTTATCCGCTGAAAAAAATTAACTTTTTTTTTCTAGTAATCGAAATGAAGCTTTATTATTTACTAATAGTTCAAGAGCAATGAAAATGATTTTATAAAATTCTAATGATAATAAACCAATTCCGTATATCCCTAACGAAGCTCTAGCATTTATTGTTGATAATAAGCTGTAAGGTTTCAGCTGAACCAAAGGGCCTACTATTTACCCACTGTCCAGGGGAACACTGAACAGTGCCCTAGTAGCCGCGCCAAGAAAGATATTACTTGTTGACGGAGCTACTAGGTATTGATAAAAAAAAAAAATATTAATAAAAATGAGAGAAAAAAAAACATAGGCCATGTATAATATATTATTTTAATTTAATTATTTAAAACTTATATGTATTATTCATGTATATATAAATATTCATAAGAAAAGACTATAAAAAGGAGAAAAAAAAGAGAGGTGCTATGTACACAAAGTTATTAAGGAGGTAGAAAAGGGGGGTTTCATGTTGATTTCTTGAAGAGTGCCGGCCACCACCGGACATAGTTCACGCCTCACGCCATCAGCAACATCTCGACGTTTTTTTTAAAAAAAAAAACGGAGGACAAAAAAACTGAACAGCCTGGTTGACACCACAAGTAGACGTCAGGTCAACTCGACGTTTTATTTTAATAAAAAAACGGAGAACAAAAAAAAATACAAAAAAATTTGGTTTTCACAATAAAAATTATATAGACAGACAACTTGTCGCCTCGGTAGTATAGTTGAGAGAAGAAAAAAAAATACGTTGTCGCGGCATTTGTATAGTAGCCGGTGATTGTGACGCCGGGTGGTGGTGGTGCCAACTTTAAATACGTTCATTTGGGGAAATACAACAATATTGGTACAGGTGCACAGTGTACGGTCAGCTGATGACGATAGGATGACAGATATCGGACCGGTTGAATAGTGGAGGTTATCACATACACAACTATTAAAATACTTTACACCTACTGCACACACCTCTAACTGATAGGATTTATTAAAAAAACTAGTATAAATTCTGCAACATTACAAAGCTTACAAAACAAAAATACCTGAATATTCGTCTTTGTTCTAAAAAAAGGAACTGTAATATTTATTCATCTTATAAAAAGGTTTATTTTGCAAAATTGAAGTGTTATCCAAATAATTTGGATGTTAGCGAATCAGGTTGTAAAATACCTCTTCAAAACTTATTAGATCGCACAATTAATAGAATATTTCGAATAGAAACAATAAACAAGGTTGAAAAAAATAAAAAATCTATGGAAATGATTTCTAAATGGGGCTGTGACGGTAGTAGTGGTCAGGCTCAATATAAGCAAAATTTTAATAGTAATGTGAGTAAAACATACCAAACGGTATTTATGTACTCTATTGTCCCTCTTAAACTTCAATGTTATAGTGATAATAGTGGTAATAGTTATGACATTATTTGGAAAAATCTCACTCCGTCGTCAACAAGATTTTGCCGATCTATAAAATATATGTTCATGAAAGAAACTATTGAAAATACAAAATTAAAAGTTGAAGATATAGAACAACAAATAAGGGAATTAAATAATACGTATGTATTATTCGATGAAGAACAACTTGAAGTAAAAAACTTCTTATATTTTCTATGGTCGATGGAAAGGTAAAATTAATGCTCATTTTATTTATAATTTAATAAGTTTCTTTTTAACTTGCATGAATTGAATTATTTATTTTAAAAAATAATGTATATTTTTAATGTTCTATGGTTAATAATTATTGTTATTTTGTTTTTATACATATTTAAAGGTTTGCAATTCAATGACTGGAACATCCAGTCAAAAATGTTATATTTGACGGTGTAAGCCGACCGAAATGAATAACATTGAGGCAATTAAAAGTCGACCTGTTATAAAGGAAATTACAGATACGGATTATCAACATTACATGCGTGGATACGTTTTTTTTGAATATTTTATCCACTTATTGTACAAATTTAAAACGTGGCAGGTAAAATTCCTAAGATTAATTTTGTAAATATGAATTTAAATATTTCATAAAATACATTATAAATATAGGTTAAAGATAAAAACAGAGATCAATATAATGCGCGAAAAAAATTTGTTCAAAATAAATTTCGTGCTGAGATGGGACTTCTAGTTGATATTGCGTGGCAAGGTACAAAGAATTATAATAATAATGTAGCGAATCGGATATAAATATTATGTAAAAACTTATAATTTGCATGGTATTTTTATAAATGCCGAAACATCGTCTTTGTGTACTGGCATTGATGTTAATTTAATAAAGCGTTGCGAAAATATTTTATTGACTATAGTAAGTGGATATTCAATTAATATAGAAGCTTTGAAAAATATTGTATTAACATAGCCAAGGTATTTGTTTCTCTCTATCCATGGTACTAAATACCAGCATCCGTACACAAAATTTTACTTCACGGTGCAGATGTTAGATGATTTTCACCACATCCTATTGGTAATAGATTTTAAAAAAACCCCGTACAGGGGGTCGCGGCACAATGGTGACGTAGCATAGTTGGATCAAGTATAATGATATCTGATATTGATTAATATCATTATTAAAAAAAAAACGCTTCGATGCAAATCTTTAGATAGTGTTTAATTTTAAAAAATTGGTGGATTATTCCAAAATCTACATGATAAGATAAAGTATGTCGAATGAAAAAGGGATTATTAAAAATATTTTTCTCATAAAAAAATTGTGTTGATCCATATACTTTTCAATAAGTTATAGTATTATAAAATTAAAAATGTAAAAAATAAAATCGAAAATTTTCACACAAAAATATCATTTGGTAGCCATTTTCATCGTGAAGACAAAATAAATTCCAAAATTTTTTTTTCCATGATAAAGTATATTACATTAGCTTATATAAAAATGTCAGACTTTCCGGAACATTTTCAAAGGTCAAGTTGAAAAACTTAATTTTTTGTGAAAAATTTGTCATTTTTAAGTCCCACCTGTGGGCAGGTAAAGGGTCAGATTTATAAANTAAGTCCCACCTGTGGGCAGTTAAAGGGTCCGATTTATAAAAAAAATATACCAAATAAAAGGTAATAATATCATGCATCTATATAAAAAAAAATAATATTGATTTTGGTTATTTTTAAAAAATTATGGCTATTTTAAGTTAAAAAAATTTCAAAACTTTCTAAAATTAGCGATTTTTAAATTTGTAATTTTTTTAGAGGTTTCCCCCATTTACGGGGAACGAGGGAATTTTTTTCAATTTTTGAGGGTAATGTCTTCGACTAGATACGATTTGTGATCTTTTGACGTATCATTTAATGAAATCGGTTCAGTGACAGCTGAGAAAAGTGGTAAGAGACACAAAATACCCGAAAAAATTCTCTCCTTAACACAAATAAAGATCTTTTGCATATATTACTTATATCATCTGATCCTTACATTTCCAGTTTAAATAGACAAGCAAATTATTATTCAAAGGAACTGGCAATGGAAGCAAGGACTTTAGTAATACAACATAATGATGATGTTGAGTATAGTATAAATTGAAGAGGATATGAAATTAAATCATTCTTTATCAGAATTAAATTTCTAAATATAATTGCAAAATTTTTAAATAAAACAATTATTACAAATTTAAATTAATTTTACTTTATTTAATAAATGCATAATAATAATTATTTATTTGTAAACAATAAAACAACATTGGTGTCATATATATCAATAAGAAATTGATAAAACCAATGAAATTATTAAGATTACAATTTTTACGAAAATACACGTTTATTATAGGGAAATATTATGTACACGACTCAAATGCAATCTGACGCAACATTTTTTTTTTTTAATTGAAGCTTAAGAGTTCTTCTACAGCTTTTATTGCGTATCCAGTTTACGGTAGAACGCCACACACTATGAATTGTATATATATATATATATGTGTGTGTGTATACACGTAGTATATATGTATAGTAAGAGGTATCACGGTACTAGTCACAGCGATAAGATAGGTCACTTTATTTATACGTCCGTGTATATATATTTATAAACTTCAAATACACTTTCACACAAAAGGTATACTTCTATATCACGTCAGTACAATACGAGCTAATATTCACATTAAAATTGCAAAACCACAAGTAATATAATAATAAGAAAGAAATATAGTTAAAAAAACTAAAAAAAAACGCTTTTAAATCACATTGAACTAAAAAGTTAAAAATAATTTTTAAAATAAACTTAAAACAATAATGAACAAAAAATATTAGTATTATTGTGATAAAAGTATCGGGCGCTCAATATACGAAAAATATGGCACAAAGCACCCACGCTTTTATCACAATAATAATAGTATTTTTCGTTCATTATTGTTTTAAGCTTATTTTAAAAATTATTTTTAACTTTTTAGTTCGATGTGCTTTAAAAGCGTGTTTTTTAAGTTTTTTTAAACTATATTTAATTTTTACTTTTTAGTTTCATGTTATTATAGTTGTTACTATCAATATCATGGTTGCAACGGGTAACAGGAAAGCAGGGTTTGATTCCGGGGAGGGAGTTTAAGAAGCGGCTACCACATCCAAGGAAAGCAGCAGACGCGTAAATTACCCACTCAGGGAACATGGAGGTAGTGGCGAAAAATGACGATACGGGAATCATCCTTTGTAATCGAAATGAATACACTCTATATCTCTTAATGAGATTAAAGCGTGTTAATATATAATTTTAATAGTAATTAGAATATATATATATTTACATGAAAAGCGATTTAAGTACGTAAACGTATCATGCACGAGGTATAGCCGTGTTTTGTTGGCGGGCGTGGCGGGGGGAACGTTACACACCAGGTATATACGGCGGTAGCGGCATCGGCTGTAGGAATATATAAATGAATATTAACATATACGTATATATAAATATTAATATATATATATATTNGGGCCGTATCAATTACAATAAAAATTTGTTATATATATATATACTTGATGACACGCACGCGTATACGGGTACGAAAACCAAAAATAAAATTATACAGGAAAATATTGTTGTCGGCCAGTGGTGAGCGGGGTGGGGTGAATGCGTTACGACAGTATAGTCTCAAGGTCAACGGGATACGCGACATAATAACACGTGCCGCGTGGAGTTACAAACTTACAACAAACATACAAGTGAAACTAATATAAGTGTGTTAAAAACGACTAAGTTCCGGAGAGTGAAATCTTGAGTAGAGTGTTGTAGATTTTGTGTATTTTAAAATCGCCGAATGAACTGGTTTAGATGGGGGGAAATGGATTTTTATAGTTTGAAGGGGGTAGCCTAGGGATTCCTACCGCGATCCTGGAAGCTAAGGCTTGCTATTCTAATTGGTCAATTATAATGGGGGCCTTGCGTGTAGGCGTTACTTAATAATCTCTACAATAAGTAGATTTTATCCCATAATTAACTGATTATTTTGTATTTTAAATAAGATAACCCTGTTTTAGTGATCTTGTATAACCATAATATGTGACATACATGTACAAATGATAACATCATATAATATGTTAATATTATAAGTAATAATATAATATTACTGTACCCTCTCACCATTTATTCATTTTTTAAGTATTATTAGAATTAAGCTATGATCACATATCTTAACTTAATTCAAATAATTAACGTCACATACCTTACTCCACGCCAGGGGAAGGTGACAAATTTTAATTATTTTCGAACTAATTAAAAACTCTTTAAATAATAAATATTAATTAATCAGATTTATATCAATTGGTCACAATGATAAAGTAGTATTTCTAGAAAGTTTTCATTATTTATAGTAATTATATTTTTTATAGGATTCCATTATAGCATAAAGGTGACAAAATGCCACACCGTTCCCTAATGTAGTATAAAAATACATACTATGTATTTACATACTCTATATTTTTAGTATGTATATACTAAAAATATTTCAGAATTTGACAAAATTTAGTGTTAAAATATAATTTATAAAACACTATCTTTATTTTAAAAATAACTAATATCTATATAAGAAAATTATAAAACTATAACAATTAAAGGGATTTTTTTTACAAACAAATGCATATTAAATAATCAATAATTGATGAAACCAGCGGAAAGACAATGTCTATAAAAAGTGATCTCTTCTGCAATCTAGTTAATAGCAAATATTATATATTACCATTATGTACGAATATTTATGATTACATTTAAATATATGGCTAATATTTTATTAGTGTTATTGCAAAATTATTTTTTATGCAGAATAAATAGTAAAACATGATTAATACTTATTCGACTGTTCAAAATTGATTTTAATCTTCTTGAAAAGAATTATTTGAGTTTTATAAAATAATTTTTTTTTTACTATAATCTCTTTGAGAGTTTCCCTCATTCATTTGCCATGACCTCATATTTAACTGTTTAAGCTATACATTTTATAAGCACTAAGTTACAACAATAAAAACTTTGGGAATTTTTGTGGGGGTGAAATGGAGGTACAAACCTCTATGACAGAAATAAATATATAGTGAAGATTTTGTTTGGAGGGCTATAAAAAAATTGCTATACATATTCCTTTTGAGAACGCTTTGTGACATAAGTAATCTAAATATTACTGCTTTTATTCAAAGTTTTTGCTTTTAGGGGTATATACCCCTACTTTTAAGAAATACATTCACTTATATTAAAACTTATTCTTAAATTAAGATTTGAAATATAAAAATAGTTGATTAAAAATGTATATTTTTCTAGTATTGGTTAGTTCGGTGAATAATCTTAATGAAGCTGAAGAAACTTCTTCGAGTGAGTTTTCAATTATTTTATTTTAAATGTGGAGTTTTGAAGTGTAAGTTTTTTTTTAAGATAGGTACTAATTTTGAACAATTTTTTGAAAAATTTTTTTGAATTTTTGCATAAGATGCTTTTAAGGCTGTATGTAAAAATCAAATAAACGTAAAAAAGTACATTTACAAACTCAAATAAATCATACAAGTAAATGAGTATGTTTTATTAACTATAACGTAACAAAAGGTACCAATTAGTATTGGTATATTTGTATATATATTTATATGTATCTTAAATTATTTTGGTTGAGCCGAATGCGTTATCATTCATATAATCACGATAAGGTGATTTGTTGGTGTTGGGCGCATGCGAGATAATCAGCTGTGTACTACTTCGGATCGGTTCATGGACGGCATTTGTGTGTACATTCACCCCGCTCCTTTCCTATCTTGAACGTCATTTGCACTGCTCACCGCCTATATTGTCGCCTTATGATATATTCTGATTCGAATTATTCTTAATAATTTCCGGCACTGGGTAGTAAAATTTGTTAACCCTTACTCTTGAAGCTAGCCGGGTGTCGCCATCGGACCGCCGGATCGAACACCGGACGGTTTGTCGGGAAATAGCCATAGTCGGAACTGGCTGCACTATTTCCTGTCTGTAGTGGAAGTTTTTTTTTTAGTTGTGTGCGCTACAACTATTGTGTGTTTTATTTTTTATATATATAATTTTTTCGTGAGTGTTCACTAATTTTGTAGAGCTGTGATTTTTTTTATTTTGGCGTCGGCTGAACCTGTCTTCAGTTTCTGAGCACTTTGGGGTTGGTAATGTACATTTAATTATTATGTTTTGAGCCAAATTTTTTTTTTTAGCGCCGTGCCATAAGCACGCGTGGCAATTTTTTTTATTAATCTTTTGTAGGTCTCTCAACATGGTAGACGTGTTACAATACCACCCACCATGTTTATTTATTTAATTATTTAACGCCAACGGAAGTTTACAGGAATAATATTATGATAACATAATTTAACAAAAATGTCTGGTGCATCAATTAGACCATTAAGGAGAGCATCGATAAATTAACGGTTTGCGTCAAATCGCCTGGAACTAAGAGTAGGGATATTAAGGGTGGACCAAATAATGGAATATTCATGAGGGGGGTGGGTAATTTTAAGTAATTAAGCGGAATAAGATTAAAAGCGATTCTGTACTCTTTCAATACGGAGTTGATCTTTAGCTAAATAAGGATGCCACACAACCGCTCCGTATTCTAAAATAGAGCGAACGAGTGAGAGATAGAGGGAACGTAAACATTGTGGAGAAGTAAAGAGGTTAGTATGTCGTTTTAAAAATCCTAAAATTTTTAAGGCTTTGCCTACCATAAAGTTAATACGGACGTCAAAAGATAGCGAAGGAGTCAGGTGGAATCCCAGGTCAGTTTCTTGAAATACACGCTCTAACATGGTACTATCTAGGGAGTAGGAGTATAAAAGAGGAGCGCGCATCCTGGTAAATGTCATAATATAACATATACTTATATTAAGTGAGAGGCCAACCCGATTAACCCAGCAAACAAAGGAATTAAGATCTGTTTGCAATAACAAACAATTAGAGGAAGAAGCTACTATTATAAAATTTTTCATGTCATTTGCAAATAAGAGGACGTTAAACGTAAAAAAATAATAATAATAATCAATTATAATTTGACTAATGTACATTTTAAAGATGTGATGTAAAGTTCCAGTGTTTCCGTCTAAACAACTTGTTATGATTTTTTTATCAAAATACGATCGTTGTCAATAAACTACTATGTAAACTATATAGAAAAATACAGATTGGTTCTTCGTCATTTTATTTAAAACTTAAATTCTCTGAACTATATTTGGATATTGACTTTTATGATATTTTTCAAAAAGAACAAAACGTATTTCTTTAAAAGTACATTTTTTTTCGTTTTACTCGGATACGAAATAATTATACTGAAGTATAGGGAGAAATTGATAAGAATATTATGGTATTATAATCTGAATTCGTATTTCCTAATGCGCAAATTCAACTTCTTAGCAAAGTTTTAATTATTCAAATGATCTATGCAATGCTAACTAAGTATAGTTGGTACTTACAACGTATAAAATATTGAGAGGAAGTAGATTTACGTGTCTGTAGTGAATTATAAAATTGTAACAAATAAAAAGAAATGAACGGAATGAGTTGTCCAAGGAAGAAGAGTGAAAGGAATTAATAATAATTTTAAGTTACTTCTGTTCCCTATCCCAACCGTTGTTATTTTTTATTCTTATTTATTATGTGATTTTCATTAGTTTTGTTTATTGAAATAAAAAATACAGTCACTAATCTATACCTTCTATGCCTTTCAAATAATCTCTTTAATATACGCGTTGTTTGATTGTGCATTTTTGCAAACACACTTGTATATGTTTTTTTGTCTTAGAATGTACTCTTATTATATATATTTTAATTTTTTACTTTAAATATTATAATTGTACGAAGTGGGACGCTGTGAACGAGTCGGTAATGCGGTAGTGCTTGACGCGCACTGCCTCGGGTTCGAAACTTGGCTTCATTTACCGAACAAGATTGTGTAATTGGAGTCGCCATCCCACTCTCCGGTGACGGACTAACCGTCCGTCTCCGAGTATAAATGGTTTAGAACACCTCCTCCTAGGGGGCTATAAAAAAAAAAAAAATTATACGAAGTTCTTTATCAATGTTTTCCAAAACTCACCCTGGTGTTACCAAAGTAGGATTAAAAAATATGTTTATTTATATTTAAAAGTGGGTTCCTACGATTGGTGTACTTGTCAAGTATACCAATAATTGTAGTAAAAAACTTTAATATGAATAAGAAATTTTTTCAAACGAGAAGAGTCTACAATGATGGGGTCCTTGATATTCATTGAAGTTATTGATTCTAAATGAAATAAAAACCAAAAGAGTTAAATATTTTTTTCTAACTTAAAAACTTTTGTAAGGTATTTTAAAATCAAATAAAATACAAAATCGAAAATTTCGTATTTTCGTAATTTTGTATTATAAAATCGTNAAGATATTTTAAAATAAAATAAAATACAAAATCGAAAATTTCGTATTTTCGTAATTTTGTATTATAAAATCGTGCCATGATTTTATAAATCATATATCATGAAGACAAAATAAGTCCGAAATTTTATTTTCCATAATAAAGCATATTGCATAAGCTTTAATTTAAGATAAATATAATAGTGTCAGTATTTCCGGAAAATTTTCAAAAATTAAGCAGAAAAAGTTAATTATTTGTGAATAAGTTGTAATTTTGGATCCCCCCCCTGTAGGCAGGTAAAGGGTTAGATTTATAAAAAAAATATATGAAATGGTAGGTAAATACCTCATATAACTATAAAAAAAATGATATTGATTTGATCATTTTTTAAAAAGTTATGGCAGTTTTTAATAAAAAAAAATTGAAAAAATGTTGAAAATTAGCGATTTTTAAATATGTGATTTATTTTGAGATTTCTCTCATTTACGGGGAACGAGAGAAATTTTTTCAATTTTTGAGGGTAATGTCTTCAACTAGATACAATTTGTGATCTTTGATGTATCGTTGAAAGAAATCGTTTCAGTGAGAGATGAGAAAAGTAGTAAAAGACACAAAAAAAAGGACATCATAGTAATTTTAATCTTCAATACTTCAACTTCGCATCGAAGCTAAAAATTTGTTGATTTTATATGGAAAAAATAAATATATATAATGTATTTAGTAATTACTGAAACGGGTTTCTAGTATTCTTATTGTAACAATTGACTGAATCCTTACTTACTCTGTATATATTATATAAAAATTTAAACTTAAATAATTTTACTTATTAAATGATATTTTATACTTTCCGAATGGTAACATTGATTAGATGATTTTACTTTATTTGTGTATATATGACAATTAGTTCTTGTATAAAATAATATACTACAAAACAAAATATAATAATAATTTTAAAAATCTTGTATTTTTTTTTTAGATGACATATCTAATGACAAAGTTTGTATAATTTGTCATGAAGAAAAAACATCAGTTTCTTTTAATAACTGTGTACACAAAATGTGTAATTCATGTGCAAATGGAGTACTTCATAATTATTATAAAAAATGCCCTATATGCAAAAAGATAAATACTATAATTATTGGTATTCGTAAGTACCTAATCGTATAAATTAATAAATTTGTATCAACAAGGGCCTGATATTTTTGTAAAATATGAACAATTTTATTAAAGGGTTACATTTTTTGCTGTAAAAAAATTTGATGTTATTTATTACTAATTAATAAACACAGTAAAAGAATTTAGATTTTTGTATTTAATGTAATGACATTGATCATTAAAGTCTTTGTTAGAAAAAGTTAGTTTTATTCTGATAACTGTAAATATAAATTGTCATATTTGTTCATTACATATTCAGTATTAGTTAATAATATTAATAAAATAATATTTAATATACATTTTTTTCGGCATTTTCAAGAGAAACCGAAACTGATTATTTTTCAAAACCGAGTCCGAAAACTAAAATAGAACCCAGTCATGTTTTAAAGCTGGTTTTCAAACATCAACCAAAACCGCAAAAATATAGAACGATTTCAGTCTCTTATAATAAATGTAGTTATAGAAATTAATTCAAACTGACTATCAAAATTTGACAGAAATTTACTTAAAATTCTTATTTTTTTAATTAAAAATAATTTTGTATGTTTTTTATGGCAACAAAATCAATAAATGACAACATACAATTAATGCTTTTACACGTAGTATTACTTAACATTAGTAGGGTGGTATTTATGTGGGGTAATTGAATATACGATTCTAGGTTTGTGGAAATCATTGAAGTAAATATTAGCCATTTGTTAAACTTAAAAATTTCAAATTTAAGCGTTGATTTTTTTTTTCTGAAATGATAAAAAATAAATAAATAAAGTTTCATCAATATTTTTAAATTTGATATTCTGAACTTATTAGATAATATTAGTAAATATTAGTTATTCATATAAACGTTAGAATTTTAAATTTATACTTTGAATATTTTTTCTTTGGGACGATAAAAAATGAATAAATAGAGTTTTATCCATATTTTTCATGAAACGTCATAATTTAGTATTCTAAATTTCACAATTTCTGGCTGCTCTACTTAGTTTTTATGAATATATTAATAATGCATGGATAATTTTAGAATCAGATACTGATAATATTTGTTATACTTGTGGAAAAGAACCACTGACAGTAGACATTGGTTGTAAAAATAATCACAAAATGGGTAATAATTGTGCTTATAGAGCGGTTAATGTCTTAAATATTAAATATGTTTGTCCATACTGCAATTTAAAAAACAGAGGTTACAAAAATCTCCGTAAGTATAATTGATATTTACATAGTTATAACAACAAAATACACATGACATATATATATATATATACATTATACATTAATTTGATTTAATGTTATTTGTCAGTAATGTTAAGTTAAAATAATATATCTTTTAAATTAAATCGAACAATTTTTCATTTATTATTTTATTATTATACAAAACGATTCAACTATCATGGACCACTTAATTAATCGAAAAATAAAAATAATATTAATAATATTTAGCTTTAATGAGATGCTGACAAGGTATTAATTTTATTATGATGTGTTTTTTTTTTATGTCTGTCGCCACTTTTTCTCAGCCAACCGAAATCTTTCAACGACACGTCAAAAGATCTAAAATAGTATCTAGTTGAAGACATAACACTTAAAAATTAAAAAAAATTCGCTCGTTCCCTGTAAATGGGGGAAATCTTTAAAAAATTTACAATTTTTAAAATCGGTAAATTTTGACATTTTTTTCTTAAATTCTTAATCTTTTTGAAAAATGAATGTTCCAAAATAATTTTTTATATAAGTACCTTATGTATTTTTATTTTATTTGATAAAAATTGTTTGAAAACCTGACTATATACCTGCCCACAGGGGTGGATTAATTATAGCAACTTTTTCACAAAAGCCAACTTTTTCAAATTTTGAAAATGTTTCGGAAATACTGCGTTTTTTAGATATATGTTAAATTAAAGCTTATGTTACGTTCTATAAGTTAAAAAAAAATTTGTCCCAACAAACTATCTGCTATGTGCAAATGGCAGCCGTAGTTAAAAACATGCTATTTTTGTGTTAAAATTTTCGATTTTCGATTTCATAATTTCAACTTTAAAATGCTATAACATTTTGAAAAATGTATAAAATTTTCTTTTAATAAATACTTTATGTTTACTTTTTTCATCCGACACACTTTTTTTTCAAATTGATAAATTTTTTTAATTTTTAAGGACAATGTCTTCAACTAATTACGATTTTAGATCTTTTGACGTATCGTTGAAATATTTCGGTTGGTTGAGTAAAAAGTAGTATCATACATAAAAAAAAGGCATAATAGTAAAATAATATTATTCAGCTTTGCATAGGAGCTAAAAAAAATAAACTATAGCACGGTGGGGTCGCAGCACAGTGTGGACGTGCCATGATTGGGACAAGTATAAAAAATATATGACAGTGATTAAAATCACTAAAAAAAACACATCTTAGTAAAATCTCAGCTTCACATTATTCCTAAAATTAATCAAAAAAATAAACTTTTATCAAATTATTATTGATTTTTAATATTTTAAAAATAATCTGTGCTAAATTTAAATTTAAAATGTAATTTTTAAATTATTTTTTTGATTCTTTAAAGTTGATTTTTATGAAAATTTAAAAATGTTGAACTTTCAAGCACTATTTTAGGTCAACTTGCAATTTAGAATTTATATAATTTATATCATCATAGAAGATTTTATGTGAAATAAAAAATTGTTCTTTTTTATATTGATATGTGATTAGAAAATTATGTAATTACTAGTAACAGTAAATTTATAAGAAAAGATCAAAACATCGTTAAAAATACTATTTTTTTGTATTTTTATTGTAATAAAAATCTAAATAGAAGTCTTAGAAACCATTTCTATGTAATTCTTAGTGGTTAAATAGATGTTACAATTGAATTATTCAAAACTAAATTAATTTATTAAATATTCAATAATTATTGAATAATTATTATTATTTATTAATGCATTGATATACTGCACATATTATATTCTGCTTGTTTACACTGATTAGGTGATATATTTAGTCTATGTATTATTTATTAAACAATTCCTTCTAAAAATTAAACACTATCTACAGATTTGTATCAAAGTGTTTTTTATGATAGTGATTTTAATATCTGTCAGATATCAACTATGTTATGTCCCCCCTGTGCTGGTTATTTTATAATGAAATTACATCAATTGTATCTGGTGGATATAAGATTGATGTTATCTATAAAGACCTTAGAAAAACATTTGACACATTAAATCATGCTATTTTGGTGGACAATTGATAAAAAACCGGTGTTACTGACCCTATTTTATCTTGGTTTTCATCTTACCATAGTGGTAGATAATAGCAAGTAAAAATTGTTGACTCTTTATCATCAATATTTATGAATGACCCAACTAATATTTTTCGTCATGCACGTTGCTTACTTTTTGCTTATGATGTAAAATTGTTTATACAAATAAAATTTATTAATGATTGTTTAAATCTCCAATTATCTCCAATTTCCTTTGATTTGTAATTTAATGAGCACGTTACTTATATTTATAATAAAGTTTTACACACTTTCTTTAAAAAATAATTGTTCTGAATTTACTAATCCTCTATGCTTTTATGTTCCTATTGTTATCTTACGTAATAGTTCACTATTCTACATTTCTTTACATAAGTAAAATTATAGTAATTTTTCACTGGTTAACCGTATGCTAATAAATTGCAATTCAGTTTGCTATAAATTAGATTTTTTGTTATGAAGTTATGAATAATTTAAAATATCGACTGGAAGTGAGGAGTGGGTGCTGCTATTTTTATTACTAGACATTTCTCTATCCAACTCCTCCTACCTAGCTATAAAAATGTAAATGACTTTTTAAATACTGGTCTAAAAGTTGTTATCGACAAAAACTTTACTTAAATACATCAATTTCTATTTTATAAGCAATTTAAATATGAATGTTGCCATTTAAAAAAAAAAGTTGACACTTCTATAGAATACAAGATGTGAAGATAAACAGTATTTTATAACAGATAAATGGAGATATACATGTAACTAACAAAACCTGATTTTTTAAAAACAAATTATTATTTTAAAAGAAATTGAGGCGCTAGTATTAAAATAATCACCCTAAAATAAATGGATACATGATACCAAGGCCCAGTTGAAGTCATAGGTGATCGTCTTATTCTCATGCTAGCCCTGTCTCTGAGTAATAATACAACTTGGATTATGAATATTAACTAAAATATTATTATAAAACTTTTAATGTTTTTTTATTAAAAATCTTTAAAATATTTTTTTTAGATGATCCTAAAACTTTTCCAAGTAAGAGCATACATGTTTTATAAATATTTTTTAACTTGTAAACACATTTTCTTTATACTTTGTACGACGTTAGAATCAATTGGATCATTAAATAAAACAAACGATTAATTGATTTAATATATCAAAAATCATTTAAAAATGTTCAACAACAAAGAGACGTAGGATTACTTTGAAAATATTGTCAACTATTGTGATGAACCGTATGGCGAATATATGACATTTCCGTTATCGCAAAATTATTATTAAATGATTTGAATGTACTTTAAAATTATTTTTTAAGGTCTTTGACAAATATCGTCTAAAGCTCTGTATTAACAAGCGCTTGCTAATTTTTGTCTCGTAATTATAGGATCAGAATAAGGGCGACATGTATGTTCTACAAGACATATTAAAACTAATTTACAATAGAGTTAAATATAATCAATTCTACTAAAAATGAAAAAAATTACCTCTTAGATCAATAATTTTATCAAGCTCAGTCACACGAATAGTACTCTTGCAAAATAACACCAACTTTGATATCCGTTTTTACTCCTTTGTATGCAAAACCAAATTAAAATTGTTCAAGGTTTCAGCCAAAACAGAGGGACTTCTATTTACCCACTGCCTAGGGAAACATTGGACAGTGATCTAGTAGCCAAACCAAGCAAGAATAGTACTCATTGACGGAGCTACTAGGTTTTGATTAAAAAAAAAATAAATATTTTTAAAATGAGGGATAAGTATGAAGAGAAAAAGAACATAGGCCGTGTATAATATAATAATATTTTTATTTTATTTAAAATTTTTATATGTATCATTTCAACATCATTAGATATATATATATTATATATTATATATATATATATATATTAGTGTGTCCCTTATTTTGAAAATTTTGGAAATTCTTCGAATTCACTCCATAAATTTGTGTGTATACATATAAAAAGTGGCTACAAAAAATTTCAGGCTGATCAGATAAGTTTAAACCGTGCCGACTTGGGGTTGAAAATCGGCCAAAAGAGGTACTTTTTTAGTTTTTAGCAATTAACTCATAAATTAGCGCTTTCACAAAAAAAAAAAATTTTAAAACTAAATTGTAGACCTAATTGTTTTGTATAAATTAAATCCTTACAGTTTTTCTTTTAAATCCATTAGTTTTTGAAAAATGTCAAAATACATAATATTTCGTAAAATTGCCGAAATTGGTATATTTAAGAATATTTCATCATATATGACGAACCATATGTGATACGACCTAATGTTTCTTACAAATATTATTTAAAATTAAATTTTACTCAACCGTAAATACTTATATATGCATCATGATTTTACAAATTTTAATTGACTAATAAGTAATTAAATTATTTATTTTCGACTGGTATGAAAAACTAAATTATACAGAAAACACGTTAAATTATATAAAATCTACATCGATTATTTTGAAGTTATAAAATTATAATAATATATCAACAAGATTACCCCAGAGTGGCGCTAAGTAATTAGCACTTCAGGTTTGTCGAACCTGGCACCCCGAGCTTTGCGCTGGACTTTACTGGTTGGCTAAGTCTGGTCCTCCAGGTTGGGGTTTGGAAACGGGTTAAGAAGCCGTCGCTGTAAAAATCTCTACTGTTAAGCAACCAAAACTAAAGCCTCGGGACAGAGATTTGGAAAGAACACAATGGAAATGCCCCGGAGAACAAGGTTTTAGGATTAAATCATGTAATGTAAGATCTATATTTAAAGTAAAAGCTCTTGATACACTAGTCGATGCAATAAATATATAGACTATAGATAGGTATAAATTGAATATTGTAGCGTTACAAGAAACGAGATTCAAGGTTAAAGATGTCTACCAGCATATAATATGACACTATTCTATAGTGGTATAGCGACTAATAAGCATGAAAATGGCGTGGTTTTTCTCGTGCGCAATAGTCTAATACAATGGATTAAGCAATTTAAGGCCATTATATTAAATTGTTATAGGGAGATATGAACGCTCGAGTGGGAAAAGAAAATGCATACAAAGTGACGATTGGAAAACATAGTCTACACGACTGAAGCAATGTTAACGGAATAAGATTAATTAATTTTGCAATAAGTAAAAATATGGTGATAAGCAGTACAGGATTCCCGGGGAAAAATTTTTATTAAGAAACGTGGTTTTTACTAGGAAGCATATTTAGTAGCCAAATTGATCATGTTCTCATAGAAAATAAATTGAAGACGATTAAAAAAAAACGTCAAAGAAGTAGACACAGACACAGACTATTACTTGATCCTGATTGACTTCACAGTAAAGATGTTTATAGAAAGAAAAAAAATAAAAAATACCCAGAAAATACAACATGGATACATTAAAAAATGAAGAAATGTTACAGACATTTCAAGAAATAGTAACAAATATACCAGGAAGAAGAGAATAAAGTGATATTGAACAGATGCGGAAGTCATGGAAAGTAATAAAGATCTCAATAACAGAATTCGTAGAAAAAGTCATTCAACTCGCACAAAGAAAGAATGCAAGCAAAGAAATGGTTTAATTATAATTGTCAGAAAGGAATCAGGGAACGCAATAAAGCCAGAATCAACGCAATCCATACACCTATTTCTGGAAACATACGGGATTTCGAGAACAAGCGAAGAGAACTAGCTACAATAATAAGAAAATAAAATAAAATAGCGGAAAAAGAACGATTAGAGTAGATTGAAAACTTCAAACACAATCCCAGAGATTCTGCAAACGTTGCAGAACATTTAAAAATGGATTTATACCAACTATACAGATGATTGAAGATAATAATGGTGTTCTAATTACAAGAACGAAAAATATTGCTGAGGAATTTAGAATGTACTTTGAAAAACTCCTTAACAGAAACTCAACAACGGAAGTAGGGAAACAAGACGACACCATACATTACGCAGCAGAACCAGAAATATTGAATTCGAGTTTAGAAAAGATACAGTATGCTATTCAGACTATAAAAAAATTAGTCACTATGAAATAAAAAAATTGTAGCTGAATTATTGAAGATAGGAGGACAAAAACTAACAAAGGAAAATATACCACAAGACTAAAATGAATCATTGAAATGTTCAATTTTCAAAAACGGTAACCGAAATAAAGTAGTAGAGGATTATTACTGCTGAACACTGAGTATAAGTTATTATCATTAATAATACTTAATAGTATTAAATAAAATTAAAAATATTATTAATTTAAAAACTAAAAAATATTAAATTCAAAAAGTCACAAAAAATTGCCGAAAAAATCTCGGATACGTATTTTGGAATTATAAACCATTATAAACGTTTAACATATATACACATAGTTTGTGTTAAATATAGTTTTAATTTTATTTAATTAATTAGCTACAAGTGATCAATTTTTATTATATAAACACTTAAAGATTGCAAATTTATACAGATGAGATAGTAGGTAACTACCAAAGCGGATTCAGAAAAAATGAATCAATTATTGATCATATATTTGTCATAAGACAGATTATGTAAAAAAGTCTCGAGTTCGCGAAAGATCTACATATGGTTTTTTGTAGATTACAAACAAACCTATGAGACGAAAACTATGGAAAATTCTTAAAAACGTTGATTTACCAACTAAATTAATCAACATGATAAATATGTGTAACACGAATATCAGCAGCCGAGCCAAGGTGAACAACGAGGTATAATCTTCGTTTTTCATAGTAGATTGAAGCAGGAGATGCGATATCACCAATGCATTTAAATATGACACTGAAGAGTGTAATAAGAAAGATACCTGAGACAATAAATCTTGACAAAGGAAATGTCTTACTAGTATATGTAGACGTCATAGTGGTTATTGGGAATTTGCGGGAAGGTATTCAGAATTCTGTTGAAGAACTGATAAAGATAGAAAAAGATATTAGTTTGAAAATCAACAGAGAAAAACCTAAATACATGATGGTAGAACAATGAAGTGTGACCATATTAATCTCCAGATGTGAAATAGCACCTTTGATCAAGTACAATATGTCGGTTCTTCCTTTGTTTAATGGAAAAGTCCATTAAGACTTATTTAGACCCATTAGTTTTCAACTGATGGGTCTAATTTTGATTTAAATTTAAGCTACCGGTCTATAGATCTCAATGTAATTGTTGATTATTTAAATTCTATGGATTCTCATGCCAAAACTGCCCCTGATGGTATACCATCTACGTTATTAAAATCTTGTAGTGCAGTATTTGCACAATCGCTTCATTTAATTTTCAATAAATCAATAAGTTTGGTTTAAACATATTGCCATAAATTATAGACCAATTTCCAATTCGATTGAAAAATAAATTGGCATATATAGAACATAAAATGTTATAAGTTTCCAAAAAATATAGTGTCTCATATTTAAAGATTTACCTGTATGTTATATTGATAATTAAGTGTAAATCCAAAAATATAAATCCGATAAACTTCGAATGAGTTTTAAAAACTTGTAGTCTTGACAATATTTTATAAAAATAGTTCAAAGGCTATACTTCAATGTGAGCGTTATTATTTTTTGGACGGAAAATACCCATTCTTCCTTACATATTTTTTAATATCAAAATCAGTCAATTTTGTTTTTTTTAATTACTACAACTTTCTAAAAATTGAATGATAAAAATAAACAATTTGTATCTTTTTGAGTGGAAATTCTTTGTTAATAGATGTTGACCACTAAATCCTGCTTACAATATATAGTTAAATAAATAAGTAATTAATATTTTTATGATGCAGGTGAAGTCGAAATATGTGTATGTAAATCTGAACCCGTTACACATATATTAATGCCTTGTTATCATCGTATTGGAAGTATATGTTCATACTATATACCTGATCCTAAAAAATACTGTTATATATGTCAAAGAGAAATTGTGAAATGTTTAACTATAGGTACGTTTTTGTATTATATTATTATTTTTTAATTAAATAACTATCTAGTTGAAGACATTGTCCTTAAAGATTAAAAGTTTTCACTCGTTCACTGTAAATGAAAGAAATCTCCTAAAATTTTATAATTTATAAAATCGGTAAATTTCGTCATTTTTTAAATTTTAGCTTCGATGCGAAGCTGAGAAGGCATTGATTTTACCATGTTTTTTTTTAACTTTTGTAATAGATATTTAGCACTTATAATTTTATTTTATTTGTATTTTTATAATGATGTTTTTTTTTTAATAAACCGCATTATAATGAAAGATGATAGATATAAAAACACCAATACCTGTATGAAATATTTTACGCAAATTAGTAGAACAATAGATTGCGCATAGATCTCTCTAAATTAATTAACTAGCCAATGAGAAGCATTGTGCAATTAAAATAATTCTCCCCCTCATAAAACAGGCCTATAAAAGAGCAATGTCTAGCTCATTCGTCACCTTATTTTTTTTCTAAAAATCTGGTCATGGTGCGTCTCTGCACCAGACTGTTTCGCGTTTGTGCTCTTTCTGACTTAGAATCTTTTCACACTTGGTGTTTTTATCAAAATCTCTCATAAGTAATGTAATTTTTAAAAAAATAACTTATCTTTTTATTTTTAGTTTTAATAAAATTTTTATTTTGTATTTTGTGAATTGTTTCAATTAAGAATTTTTTTAATTCTCCAATTGGGTTGTCTATTTAATAAGTGCATTTCGAAAAACTACCTTAGCACATCAAGTGGCTAAAACTGTTGGTAAAACAATGGTTTATGGCATGCCACTAAGGAGATCGTAGAGTGTATCTTAAATTTGAATAGATAAGTGTTTGATTGATTGCATAAGGTGCTGATGGTTTGTTGAAATCATTACCCTAGCACATCAAGCGGTTAAAACTGTTGGTAAAACAATAGTTTATGACGTGTCACTAGGGATTGATTCTCATATTCTGTCACGCTCTTTTCGGCAAGTAGTTTTAGACTCTGTAAGGTCCGTGCATCGACGAGTATATCTCCGATGGTGTAGCCAGCCTGTCTCTAGCTCTGTCGACTCTCATATCAAATACACAATTCTATAAAATACTGATAGTTTATTGAAGTCATTACCCTAGCACATCTAGCGGTTAAAACTATTCGTAAAATAATAGTTTATGACGTGTCACTAGGGATTGGTTCTCATAAGCTATCTGGTTATATAATTTTTTTTATTTTAAAATATAAAGTAACACATATACTCAGACACCAAGTATAGAAAGGAATTATAGTGAAGTAATATTTCAAGTTTAATAATTGGCATAATTTTACAAAAATTAATAAGTAAACAAAAGTCAGTGCTCTCTTTATATATATATATCTTTTACGCATTAAACAATCAAGCTAGCTTGACACAAGGTAAGTAATTATATTTCTAAGCATGTCATAAAATTAAGGATAGACGTAAGATAAATCAAGAATAACTTTTATCGAGGGAATAATACAATTGTTAAAGGTGGATAATTTGAAAAGTTATTAATAACTACTTTCTCACCATTCGGATCATAATAGTACGCGTTCAACGTAGATGTTTTAACTTGTATTATACAATTACATAAAGAAAATAATTCAGCCATNTTTATACATCTGAATAAAGAAAATAATTCAGCCATTAAGGCTTGGCGCCCAACAATTGGACAGTATCATTTTAAATGAACACACGCTGTGTTCCCATTCATATAGCATGACCAATAAATATTAAGAGTCGTAAAATCCTCCTCCGTAATCATTGCACATTTCATTGTAGAATTAATATGACTCAGGTGTGCATCATCCGAATATAATTTTCCTTCAATTTACTTTTTACGACAAACTACGCGCAGTGNCTTTTTACGACAAACCACGCGTGGTGGTAGTATTTTAATAAAGAGTTCATGGATATATATATTGTACACTATATTTTCACCTTGTAGCTAAACGTACTTCAACAATCTATTAACCATAACATCTATATATAACATCTACATTCTATTATTATTCCTCTTTCTTAATTATAAAAAAATATAAATATCACACGTATGGCCACTTATTTTATTTCCCTCATCATCCTTCATTATAATAATCTCTCTTCATTCTTTTTATTATTATAATTAATATCCATATCTTTTTACCATTTTTTCGTTTTATGACAACTTTTATCGAGGGAATAATAGAATTGCTGAAGGTAAATAATTTGAAAAGAGGGATATTATTAATAACTACTTTTTCACCATTCGGATCATAATAGTAGGCATTCAAGGTAGATGTTTTAACTTGTATTATACATCCACATAAAGAAAATAATTCAGCCATTGAGGCTTGGCACCCAACAATTGGACAGTAGCATTTTACATTCATATAGCATGACCAATAAATATTAAGAGTCGTAAAATCCTCCTCCATAATCATTGCACATTTCATTGTAGAATTAATATGACTCAGGTGTGCATCATCCGAATATAATTTTCCTTCAATTTACTTTTTACGACAAACCACGCGTGGTGGTAGTATCTTAATAAAGAGTTCATGGATATATATATTGTATGCTATATTTTTACCTTGTAGCTAAACGTACTTCAACAATCCGTTGACCATAATATCTATATATAAAATCTACATTCTATTATTATTCCTCTTTCTTAATTATAAAAAAATATAAATATCATACATATGGCCACTTATTTTATTTCCTTCATCATCCTTCATTATAATAATCTCTCTTCATTCTTTTTATTATTATAATTAATATCCATATCTTTTACCATTTTTTCTTTTTTATGACACTTTTAATTATTTTTTGTGTCTGTTACAACTTTTTCTCAGCTCTCACTAGACCGATTTTATCAAAAATGTGTCTAAAGTTCACAAATAGGATCTAGTTGAAGATATTACCATCAAAATTAAAAATTTTTCTTTGTTTCCCGTAAAAGGTGGAAATCCCTCCATAAATTAAGATTTTTAAAATTGTAAAATGTCGAAATTTTATGCAAATTTGCTTAAAAAACCCAGCACAGGGGGATCGCGGCACAGTGGTGACGTTAATAGTTAATAGTTAATAGTTGGATCAAGTATTATGATATCTGACAGTGATTAAAATCACTATAAAAAAAAAACGCTTCGATGCAAATCTTTAGATAGTGTTTAATTTTAAAAAATTGGTGGATTATACCAAAAGCAACATCATCTGCTAGTTCGTTATTAATATCCTGATATAGATAAAGTATGTCGAATAAAAAAGGGATTATTAAAAAATATTATTTCTCATAAAAAAATTATGTTGATCCATACACTTTTCAATAAGTTATATCATTATAAAATTAAAAATGTAAAAAATAAAATCGAGAATTTTCACACAATAATAGCATTTGGTAGCTATTTTCACCTTGAAGACAAAATAAAGTCCGAAATTTATTTTTGCATAAGAAAGTACAATACATTAACTTTAATTTAAGATAAATATAAAAGTGTCAGACTTTCTGGAACACTTTAAAAAATTAAGTTGAAAAAGTAAATTTTTTGTGGAAAAGTTGTCATTTTGAATCCCCCATTGTAGGTATGTAAAATGTCAGATTTATAAAAAAAATATACCAACTGATGATAAAGACATCATGCATCTCTAAAAAAAAAATTATATTGATCCATTCATTTTAGCTTCGATGTGAAGCTGAGAAGGTATTGGTTTTACTAAGATGTATTTTTTTTTTTTTTTGTGTCTGTTATCACTTTTTCTCAGCTCTCACTGAATGGATTTCTTTCAATGATACGTCAAAAGATCACAAATCGTATCTAGTCGAAGACATTACCCTTAAAAATTGAAAAAAATTCCCCCGTTATCCGTAAATGGTGGAAACCTCCAAAAAAATTACAAATTTAAAAATCGCTAATTTTCGAAATTTTTTCAATTTTTTTTCCTAAAATGTGCCGTAACTTTTTGAAAAATGAACATATCAATATAATTTTTTTTTTAATCGATTTTTGATGTCTTTACCTATCATTTAATATATTTTTTTTGTAAATTTAACCCTTTATCTGCCCACAGGATGAAATTTAAAAAGACAACTTTTTCACAAAAAGTTATCTTTTTCAACTTAAAAAGAACTTAAAAAGTTAAGTTGAAAAAGTTCTACTTTCTACATGCATTTTTTAGATTTGAACCCCTCTCGTATATAGAGAAATTGTCGGATTTAAAAAAACAGTATGTCAAATGAAAGATGTATATAAATACTACTCCTTATGAAAAAATTGTACTAATCCATACATTTTTCAAAAAGTTATAGCATAATAAAGTTAAAAATGTAAAATACAAAAACGAAAATTTTCACACGAAAATAGCATTTGGTAGCCATTTTCACCGTGAAGATAAAATAAAGTCCGAAATTTTTTTTTTTCATAATAAAGAACATTACATTAGCTTTAATTTAAGATGTATATAAAAGTGTCAGACAAATCGTTGCCATATTTAAAAACATGCAATTATGATGTTAAAATTTACGATTTCATATTTTATTTTTTCAAATTTAAATTACTATTACTTTTCGAAAAATGTATGGATAATAAAATTTGAAAAATTGCATCAATCATGAAAATTTTATATTTTCAACTTTGAACTGTTAAAACTTTTTGAAAATTGTATGGATCAACACAATTTTTTTCTTCTAAATAGTACATAAATAATACAGCCGTCCCCAAGTAGTTGGAATTAACAAGTTGACTGCCTTACCGTTTTCTTTGAACTTATCAATCTCGCTTTGAGTATCATATTAGATACACAACCGCTTTTTGTTTACTGACTTCACTTTTTTATCTTGCCTTTCTAATCTGCCCCTGAGAATCAAACATGCTTCTCACTTAAACTTGCCAATCTTATTTTGAGTATAATATATTCACTCATTTTTTTTATGAAATAAATTCTAAGTATTAAAGTTAACTCACAAAACTATTATTATTTTTTAAACTAGACCCAATTTGCTATTCAATGGTTTTTTGGCCATTTGATAGCTGCATTTCTTCCCATTTTATTCTCATTTTAAAATTGAAACATTTATTAACTATAAAATACTATAATAAAAGATGAAATAAACATATTTTTTTTTAATTAATAAATCTTTAATATTTAATTAATGATAAAAATAATATATTAATATATCTGTTAAAATACATAACAAATAAAACAAATTTAACAAGTATAAAAACATTTATAGGAACTTCCTTTGGACAATTTATTTAACAATTTTAAAGAAGTAAAATTAAGTGTATACATAAATATTTGATTAGTGTACAATTGACTATCAACCAACTATTTCACAACCTACTGTTGACTGAAGAAATATTGCATACAAAAAAATTAATAACAAATATATAAAAATATACAAGTACATAACAATTAAAACAAATTTAATAAGTATAAAAACACTTGTAGGAACTTCCTTAGGCCAATTTGGTAAATTCAA